ACCATGGCCATAAGCACAGCTCTAGTTTTTTTTTCGGTGGTTGCTTGTTTGCATTTAATCCCCATGACCCAATAATAATTTGTGCAAATTTATTTGCGAGTGCTTAGTGCGGGCGAGTCGGGAGGCCTTCCATCTGGCCACTGGCAGATATCGTGTAAATAAAACAAATTGCCATAAATAACCCGGCTGGCCGCCATAAATCTCGGTTAAATGGACATTTTTGCATCTTCAAATCGTCGAGCGGGAGCCAAGGACGCTGGACACAAGATACGCAGGACACAGGACACAGGACGCTGGACACTGAGACTCGGGGCATAAGAATAAAATACGTCTCTGCTGGTACTTGAAATCAGCAGAATGATAAAATGCCTCTCAGACAAGGGAGTGACATGACTGAGGCGTCGTCGTCCTGTGCTCTGTGGAAGAAATCCACTCAAGGTCTCTGCCAGAATAAACTAAAAATAGTTCTGGAGTGGCTGATACTGAGACGCCAGCAGTCTCATATTTCTCTTGTCTTATCTCGAGCATTCTTAACCGAGAAATATTCATTTGTGATGGCTGTAATTAAATAAAGGCTGAAATTACTATGGTTACAATGTGTCAAGGATTTAAGCATGGCTTTCAATTAATTTATTACAAGATGAGGTATTTTAGAAGCAGAAAACTGTATTACCTCTTAAAAAGCTTCTAATGTAATCCCTGACATGTAATCCCTCCCTTTTAAAACTCGGTTTATTTCGCCATTGAAACGAATCCCTCGGTTTAGTTCTTGTCATAACATTGTCAAGCCATTCGGTATGCACTTGAAACGCACTTAGCAATCAAATTCAAATTCCGGATCATATATATATAGATATTAGAGAAATCCGATTTGGTTAACGTGCATTCAACCGCAGTTCCCAATCCCGTTCGTTGACGATTCCCCTTGATCTTTGGCGAAACACTAACGATATGCGAATTCAATTTGAAAATAATAAAAATATCTATTCAACTCAGACGCACAGCTTCTTCCTCTGACGACCGACTATGATTCCTGATTATGATTATGACTTCAGTGAGTGCGCTTCGTGGGGCTTCGTGGAAATAAGGAGATCCCCCTGTCGTCCTGGTTGTGTTTTGATGTCGTTACCAGACATTGAACCGCATTAAACTATGCATAAATACACATTGCGTTGACGACGTCGGCACATATGGAGCCTCCATATATCCCTATCCTTTGGCGAAATACCCCCCGGGAAAATGGCGGAGTGCGAGTGGGTGTTGCGACTGAGAGTTAGCGACGACGTGCCAGAGGCGTTGGGCAAAATGCAATTTGATGCAGACATTACGACTACATGACGATTTTATCGTCGAGTGTAGTGCACAGACATAAACATATATGTGTGTGTGTATCTACATATGGCTTACGGAGCTGGGATTCCCCTCCCTCCCTGGCACACTACTCCTCCATTACCGTTGAGTGGAAAGTGGAAAGAATCTTCTTGCACTCGCCGTGCTTCGATGATGCTCTTAAATATTTGCATAAAAAACTACGTGGAATATGGTAAATGGTCTAGAAGTATACACCCCCTGCCCCTCCTCTCTTTCCCCCACATATATGTGTATATGCCATTAACCACAACAGCCAGGAGCTGAGAGAGAAAGATGTTGCTGCAACAATAATAATAACAAACACGCTCTATAATCAACACGTACTTAAGTCCGCCCTCCGCCATTCTGGCCAGGATTTGCTTTGGCTTAAATCCCTCATGATTTGAGCTTAATTCTCTACAATGAATGCAGTTCTAAGGCGTGGCAAATTCTTTAAAAATTAGATTTTTAGTTAAAATTACTTAATGCGGTGGATTTTAATTAAAGTTTGTAGATATTTCAACCAATTAAAAATATTTTAGAAAAGCTTTCCGCATTGAATTTTATGCTTTTTTGCTTAGTTATGGTGTTTTTAACTTTGATTTGTCCAAAGATTTATCATATAAAATTATGGATAAATTTCTATTTAAAGAATTCAGATATTTCCGGTCTTCTGTAGGGGTATTATTATGATTTCAGTCAGTGAAGGAGTTATTTCCGACCCTTTAAATAATATATATTCTTGATGAGAATCAACAGCATCTATTTGGTTTTGATTGTTATAATATTTGTAAACAAATGCAAATTTTTTTATAATTTATTTAAATTTAAATTATTTTTTTTTTTTTTGTGACACATATTTTGTAATAACAACAATTATTTGCGCAATTATCATCACATAAACTATAAGGCCGCGCGCACACTACGAGCTGAAAGCAGAGCTGAGATAAGCGAGCTGATAATTTCAGTGCAAATTTCTAAGCTCAGCTCCGCTCTCGGTGTGCGCGCTCTCATACAAGTAGTGTGTTTGTTTCAGAGAGCTGATAAGCCGTCAGCCGTCAGCTCCGCTTTCAGCTCGTAGTGTGCGCGCGGCCTAAAGGAAACGCAGTCTAATGATAAACAATTAAAATACAATAAAGAAAAATATAAATATTAACAGTTTATCGGGGCTTCAAAGGCAAATTGTAAAAACATTTTCCGGTAAATTAATCAATTTTTTTATGATTGTTAAACTTCATATTTGCAATACAGGGCAAAATTATTCATTTATTTTTAAATAATGCCATCAATAGGCAATGCAAATATAATGTAAACAATGTATTTGGGGATTGGTCAACATATAACAACCTAAAAACGACATGTAAAACAAATATATAACTTATAGAAAACTTTAAAATATAAAGAAATATATTTTATAACAAGATAAAGCTGAAATTCATCGAATTATCACTCTGAAAAAATTTGCTTATATATTTTGGATAATATTCTGTGCACTTTCGCTCGATTCCATTGGACAATTGAATTCATTTCAATTTGATTTGCCTTCGAGAGCACACACTTCATTTCAGCAATCAACGAATGCAAATTGCACAGGCAGGCGCTCTGGCTTCGTCCGAGAACCATATTTCATTTTGATAAACAATAAACAATTTGCCGCAGCAGAGCATAATACAAATGCGAGTGTATGTGTGGGTGTCCACTGTCCAGAGCCATCAATAACGAAGCCCAGCTCTCCTTGCCTCGCCTCGCCTCGGCTCACATCGGATCGAATGTCCTGAGCAGGATGCGGATTTGGATTTGGACTCTGATTCGGATACGGCTGCGATTTCTATTGCCACTCGATAGGCGACCGAGGCTAAAACAATTGATTATTGTGTGTCATAAGCATACAATTTCCACTCGACCCAAGGGCGCCCTGGGAAACTCTAGTGGAAATGAGAAGAAAATGTACCGCGCGCAGCCCAGGTCAACTGTCAGTTGCATATTCGAGTCGTCTGGGCCACGCCAGAAGCAAATTTAAATGTTAATCAAATGCCGCAGCACAGGGAAATAAGCATAGCGTGGTCGTGGAAAATCCCATGCCATCCGATTCGATTCGATTCGATCCGAAAAAGATGAAAACGAAGGAAAATCTCGCATGCATGCACAGGAAAATGAGTTTGATGTGGGCGGAGCTCGAGGAAAAATGTAATTGACAGTTCAAGTGACAAGTGGGTCGGCGGCGAGGAAAGGTAGAAAGGATTCTCTTCTCCGAAATCCACAATAAAAATTCCCCGTGCAAAATGGAAAGCAACAACAAGCCTTTCAAAAATGCAAAATGCGCGTCACAAACAATTTTTAATTAAAAAATAAAAAAAAAAGAAAACCAGAGACAAAACGAAACGAAAAAGTCGTCGAATTGTTTCTCTTTCCCCTTCCTTTTTAGTTGTGTTGCGATGCATTAAAATTAATGTAATTTTTCAGCAATTTTTCAGAAACTTTTTCCCCCTCGCCGTTCGCTCTTTCCCAGCATCTGTTTCGGCTCGGCCATATTTTTGTGTCGTTTTTGCGGTTGAGTTGTTGTCCTGGCAACGCCATCATAATAAAAGGCTAACCGATTATTTCAGAGCTCTGGAAATCCATGAACAAAACCCATAATTGAGATACGAGTGGGCAGCAAGGATAAAACGATACATTTAAACTAGTTCCAGATGTTGAAACCATCTAGTCAAACAAAATGTGTGTAATACTATACCTAATTAATTAACCTCGTTTTTGAATAGGGAACCACAGAAAACCCTATCCAAACAAAGAAACTGTGTACTTTTCTATAGCATTCGGAGAATTTAATAAAATTTGTATACCCTTGCAGGGTATTCTAATTTTAGTCAAAAGTGTGTTACATAGTGAAGGAGTCATTTCCGACCCTATAAATCATATATATTTTTGATCAGCACAAAAAACGGAGTCGATCTAGACATGTTTAGAAGAAAAACATTTTTCATAATTTCTTTTTGTATTTTTGAGGTCTTAAGATGGTTCATTGTCACAGAAAAAATGTCCAAAAATTGTAATATCTTAAAATGTGAAATTAAGTACGCAGATTTGTTTATCTGGAAAAAACTAGCACAGAAAAACTTTCCGAATTGAATTTGATGATTTTTTGGCGTAGTTATGATTATTTTTTATACAAAAATTACCATTTAAAATATATAAAAATATTCATTTAAAGAAAGTGGATATTTCAGATCTTCTTGAAGGGTTTTTATGATTTTAGTCGGTGAAGGAGTCGTTTCCGACCCTATAAATCATATATATTCTTGATCAGCACAAAAAGCTAAGTCGATCTAGCTATGTTTAGAAGAAAAACATTTTTCATAATTCCTTTTTGTATTTTTGAGGTCTTAAAATGGTTTATTGTCACAGAAAAAATTAGCAAAAATTGTAATATCTTAAAATGTGAAATTAAGTAAGCAGATTTGTTTATCTGGAAAAAACTAGCACAGAAAATCTTTCCGAATTATATTTGAAGCTTTTTTGGAGTAGTTATGATCGATTTTTGATTGTAGGGCAGATCCTATGGCAAACTGCAAGGGTATAAAAATTTCGGCTTTACGATGTTGGTTTCCTTTCTTGCTAGATTATTATTTCTAAATTAAAATACGAAGGCATATCGTAACAAGGAAACTATGCAAAGAGCATTTTATTCAACTGGGTGGGTGGGCATTGCCTCCCACAACACACATATTTGTTGATTTTGACAAACCACTCTAGATCTTCTCCCTCATGTAACGAAAGAAGGCATCGTCCTTGCCGTCGTCGATGCCAATACGACGACCCCAGCGAACGCCTGCGGCTTCTAGATCGCCGATCTTCTTCACCAGACGCCGCTTCATGTCGTCCAAATCCTTGAAACTTACTCCAGATTGCAAGTCTAGCCACTCACTAGTCGGTAAAAAGAATCTTAATACGAAATTTATACTTTGTTAGGCTGAATTTATATACTCACAACATTGTCGCAGTTTATTTTTGTAAAAATATTTATAATAATAAGAAAAGTTGGGAGATCGATGTTATTATGTAGGGTTTCGGTGTCGAACTGAATTCGTTTCTAGGGAAGCCCCAGCAGCTCAGCGGAAGGTCGGAGCATGAGCTACTTTGATTTTAAAAATTATTTCGGAAATTAATTTTGGAATTATTCATTGAATTGTGGGTCGTACTTTTTATAATACAATTTGGGAATTATATAATGGTTCTACCTATAGTTTATTTTTGCTTTATCTAAATGATTTCTTGGTTAAAGTGGAACTGAAGTGAAATTAAGGCATACAGATCGTTGCACATGTTTAAACATCGTGGAAACTAACATTATTTATGGATTTCCTTAAATTGTGAAGCATTCTTTCAAAGGAAGTACACGTTTTACATGTAAAATATGGATTGAACTTGAACATACTTTCCAATTACACCTGATTAGACTAAGTAACCGATGTTTTTTAAATCGTTTGGCATAAAAAAAATGCTAAAGGCTCTGAAAGCATCCACCTCCAACCGCCTTGTAATTCATTGTTGGCTGCATCATTATTTACACTTTAATTGCAACAATTTCCCGATTTGATGTCCAGTGCCGAGCCAGCTTTTCCTGCCGCGATATGTGGGAGGCGGTCGTAAAAGCATTCATGCCAACATAAAGTGAGCCGCAGTGGCAACAATGGTGGTTCCTCCAGGAGGAGGAACAAGGAGGAGTGAGCCGGAACCGAAACCGAAACCGTATGATGTTACACTTTTATGTTCTCCGAGCACACCAAAAACAATCCCTGGGGGACCTCAAACCGAAAAAAAACAAAAGTAAGGCCCAGAGAAAATCATTGCCATCATCGCTCTTACCAGTTTGTGTGCCCGCCAGTCAAATCAATTGGCTGCAAATAAAAAACAAACAAAAAGCGAACGGACACACGCGGCATAGTGAGCGGAAAAGACTCTACAAATACAAATAAATCGCAGCATTTCCGCAACGGTCATGCTCTCCCGCTTTTATGATTATTATATAAATTTTCCCTTGAAATGTCATAAAAGCCAACGCAAATAAAAAGCATCGAGATGGGACGAGGAGTGCTCTCATCTTTCTCTTCTTTTTTTTTTTTTTTTGTGTGCAGTATGTGGGTATATTGCTTTTCGAAAGCGTAGATCTGTTGCAAAATAGCAAGAATTTTTTAAATATATTTTTGGGGATATATCGATAGTGAATTATTCGATAATTATCATAGATTATCATTTTAAAATAAACTAAAATTATTTGCGCAGTTCATTTTAGTTCAGACACTCAAAATACCATATACTTTATATATTTTTAACATACACGTCTAAGGTATTGCAATGTCGACTATAATCTAATTTAATTTGGAGTTCCTTTTTTTCTCTGGCACAATGATGAAGCAGGAAAATGCGCAGGTCATTCGGTTGGAGCAGTGAAAAATATATATTTTTCGGGGAAAACGGAATGTTAGACACATGTATGTCCTGTCTTTCGCTTCTCCCTGGCCAATATTCAAATTTTTGGCTGACTCGACCAGCGGTTTTGGCAACTTATTAAGTTGTTAAAACATGATATCCCCGCACCTTCACCCACCTATTTTCTGCGCGGCATATAAAGTGTAAATCCAAGTGCTGCCGTGTGCTTAGTAGATTTTCTCAGCCAGGCTGGCTGGCAGGCAGTTTATTCCTGCAGCTTATGAATTATGAAAGTTCCTTTTTTCGGGGCCTGGGCTTTGAGTGAGTGTTGGCCAACACGCGTGTTGGCCATAAACGCCCCGCTTTATGGGCCGCAGAGCCTGGCAAATTGAAAGTGAAAAGTTAAGTTAAGTTGAGTTGCGTTGCGTTGCGGTGCGTTGAGGGGAAAAAGCCTCATTGGGGTCGCGTTATGAGGCATGAAAAGCGGGCCAGAGCGTGTAGTGAGAGCAAAAATAAGTGGGAAGAGTGCGAGTTGATGGGGAAAGCAAAGTGAAAGTAAGGCAATTACCCACTTTCAAAGCGAGGCTAATACATCAGCGAAACGATTTGCACTTTAAGCCAGGCTTTGTATACTATCGTTTCAAATTTACCAGAGAAATATATATAGACAAAAATCCTTTAAAAATATAAGATAAATGTTTAGAGTATTTTTGGAATTTATTTGAATTTTAAAATATTATCTGGTAACATAAATAATTGAAGTTCAAGGCATTAATAATCGTTTTATAATGAAAATACCAACTCTTTGCAAGGAGTATTCTTCGTTCGCCCTGTCGTAGCTTGATTCTTCAATTTGTAAATTGCTTTTGTGCAGCATTTTATATTATTGTTTTTTGTTTTGTTTTTGGGCAGTCATTTCCCTTGGAATCTTCCATTTCATTAGAACTGCCGCGCTGAGAACAACTTGAGGGGGGAATGTTAATGATTTCCGTAAACATGGCAAAACAAATAACGAGGCGGCAGAAAGCTCGCTGATTTCGCTTTTTTATATGGCTCACTTGAAAGGAAACGGAAATAGTGAAATGGCGGTGGGGAGGGAGGAGCAGTAGCAGCGGACAGCAAATTTTTAACGTGTTAATGCCAAGGCGGCTGCTAACAAGTAGACAAACAAAGCGGAAAAAAAGGAGGAAAAGCTCGTGAAAGTGACAGCCAATGGAAGGGGATGACAAAATGAAAAAGGGAAAGGCGACGGGAATAAGAAGTAAAATCAACGCCCGTTATTATTTGTTGTTTTTCCCCTCCGCTTTCCCTGATAGACTTTTCCCCTTCTAGCTCCCTGCTCCCCCTTGTTCTTGTTCTTTTTTTGGAAAGTTCTTTCACAGCAATTGCTTCTTGCTTCTGGTTTCCCTCTGGCATTTCCCCCTGCGTGTGGGTGGGTGGTGTGGCGTTTGCTTTCACGAATGAAATTTAATTGCAAAAATAATAAAAACAAATCTGGAGCGGTTACAACCAGAAGAACAACTTCATTTGCATTGCGGATACAGGAGAAATAAATACAAAGGACTTGGGGAAGTGGCTGGGTCTGAAATGTGGCTTTGATCCCAAGTGGAAGGAACAGCTATCTATACGACTTCAGGAATAATATTTTAAGTAATATAAAATATCAGCAATCAAAGCAATTTATTAAATAATTTTATAAACAAATTTTAATTGAGACTTGACAGTCGAATCTCAGTAAAAATTTCCAATATCTGCACGTCCGCTCAAAAACACTCTAAACTGACCCACATGAAACGCAATTCAATTAGCCGAACTAATTAAATTTTAATTGGCCAACCCATTAAATAGGGAATAAACAAAAATAGAACACAAAACCGACTTCGACAAAGTTGGCAAATATCGCTAAAATGGCCGATGGCGCATTTTGTGCCATGCTCACTTCATGGACTCACTTCAAAGCGGAAAATCAGCACATTACGCATACGCCCCGTTAGCCCGAGTCGAGAAAATTTGGCTAAAGGCCAAATAAGTGCCAAAAACGGTTCCAAAAGCGGCGTAAAACATATTTTGAAACAGAGTAGCCCGAGGATAGGAGCGGCATTTTAGCCAAACGCAAACAATTTTCAAATTAGTTGAGAGCTTGCCGAAAAAAAAGAGCTGCTCTACTGCACACCGCAAAAATTCAATGCGATATAGACAGTTATGGAATGCTTTTTGGTTTTTTTCGTGTTTGAAACTCTCTTTCCCGCAAGCCAAAAATTGTGGAAAAATGCCAGAGTGAGTACAAAAGTTGTTAGTTTATTTTATATTCTATGTTTGTTTGCCCTTAGCTGAGTGAAATAAAATGCTGGTTATAAAATTTTATGTCGATTGAAACGTTTGGCGAAAGCATATTTCCTTTATGGCTTTATTTTATTTACCTACTGCCGCTGTGGCTCCTTTGGGTCGTTCGTCCTCGTCCTAGTCGACCGTCTCCTTCTCCTTCTCCTTTTCGCCGCCTGCATTTCCGCATTGCGCGCCAAGGACATTATTCATTGTCCCCTTCTCTTCTATATAGTGTTCCCCCGCCTCCTCACTCTTTGGGGGCCACTTGAGAGTGCACGAGCAGATAATAATTCTTACATGTCGCAGCAGGTTGCAATTCCTGGGTCCTAGTTAGCGCCCTCGAATGTTAGTTCCTATTGCCTTTCCCTATCTGGTCCTGGTCTCTTTATTTCGCATTCTTGTTTTTCTTGTTAAAACCGCCCGGGCCTTTTGTCTTTTGGCGTCTTTTGTCTTTCACTTATGCATGTGCGTTGGCCCCGGCTTCCGTTTTCTGCGATTTCCACTCACTATAGTGGGCTGTACACTGAGGGAAAAACTTGAAGGAAAGGATTGAATGCAATCTTCTACCCCTTGATAAACATCTCTAACAAATATACCCAATTAAATTAGCCAGAAAGTATTTCTTTCAATTAAACTTAGTAATTTTAAATAATTTTAAATTGAATATTCATGATTTTTCTCTGACTGTGCCTTCTGTGGAGCATTTTATGACGAGTCGAGCCTGCCACATGAGCCCCAAAGGCATTTGGCGAGCAGGACAGCGACAACGACAACGATGTCCCATAAAGTGCGAAAACTTAGGAGCAGTCAAAGCTCAAGATGAAACTGAGACTGAGTCCGGAATCAGGAGCCTTGGATCAGAATCTGGATCTGGAGTCTGTGGAGCGCTCTGCTCTTCCTAATACTTTGATAATCCCTGGCCCCGGTCGAACACTCGCACATGGAACGATAACTTTTGATACGTCGCGAAGTCTTCGCCCCTCCCTGGGCCCGCGGAAGGAGACAGCCATTCAACTGTGTTACTCGAGCTTTATCGCATGTGTGTGTGCTTGTGTGTGTGGGCAAATTATATAAGCATGATAATATTATATAACGCATGGGGTTCCCCTCCGACAAAGACAAGAAAGGGAAAGATAGACGGATACAATGGCAACTGTGGTGGCTCCCTGCCAATTCACTTTGTCTAGTTTCAATTTCAATTTGATTTCGTGCCACTCGTTGGCATCATTTTGATTTGCTTATTTGTCTGGGTCTCTTGTTTATTTCCTTTCCCTCGGAGTTTTCAACTGCTTTTAAGATTTATCCATGCTCATTCCCCTGAATGTTAGTATATATACTTGAAAAACTTGTAAAATTTATCACAT